GTATCAACCGATACTTAAAACAAACTAACCGAGCACCAGCTCCGGTTACAACTTGTGCAGTAAGATGAGACCCCGTGGAGGGACAGAGGCCTTACAGTACAAGATTGGAATAGGGGTAAAAGAGAAGCAGTTGGTCACCTATCATAAGACACGGTGCCAACACAAGTCAAGCTTTCTGAACAAAGTCATGTTGGAAGTAAAGCAGTCACCCCTGAAGGTGAGGCTAGGTAGGAGCAACTCTACCACAAGCTTGCCGTTGTACTATGGAGACATACCTCCCGCAGCACAGCTGAGGTGGCGAACTAGAACAAAAGAAGCCTGAGTAAGAGCCAGGTGCCATGTAAAGTGAGGAGTAGTATCTATCATGATAGTGGGGGTGAGCCAGTAGCCTAGCCACCATACTTGGGACCCAGAAAAGAAAACCATGCCATTAAGGCTGAAAGGAAGGGTACACACAGAGCATTTGTCCCTAGGCATGGGCCAGTGGAGTAGTTCAGTCTTTGGAATAGAAAAGGGAACTCTCAACCTGCACCCAGCACTCTCCAGAATATGAAAGTAAAACTGAAGGGAACGAACATTACCACAATAGGAAGGAGAAGCCACAGTAATAGAAAGGTTATCTACATAGGAAACTATTAGGTCCTTAGGGATAACCCAGGGAAGAGAAGAAATATATATAACAAACAATAATGGAGAAATAGGCAACCCCTCAGAGGTCACAGAAACAGCAGAGAACACATTTAGAGCTCCTGGGAAAACCAAGCGACACTTGCGCTGAGATAAAAAGGAAGCCACCCAAGCCACCAAGTAAGGCTGTATCTAGAGATGATGGAGAGCTGGTTTCTATTGACATTGTCAAAGCCACCCATGATGTCACAGAAGAATGAGGAAATGCATAGGCCCTTGGTCTAAAACAGCTTAACCTCGTGGGAGACAGTGAATATCGCATCAGAGCAGCTGAGCCCAGCAAGTGATCTATACTGATGCAAGTTGAGTAGCCCTTTGGTATGGGCTAGAGAGGCGAGGTGCAGTACCACTATCTGCTCTACAATCTTAAATACAGTTTCGAGCAATACTATTATTCGAAACGTAGAAGGAGAGAAATAGTCACGCTTTCCTGGCTTATTGAGCCTGGTCTATCCTATTTGCTCTCTTTATGGAGGCTGGAGGGTGGCCATCTGTACTAGCAGAAGGTTGAGGAGGGCTAGGAGAAGGAGATCGTTGACATGATGGACTTTCTTTGACACTATACATGGGATAGAATCTGGACCTGGGGAAGAGGTTGAGGATGACTGCTACAGCACAGCTGAAACTTCAGCCAGCATGATGCATGGGACATCACAGAGAGGTAGAAGCAAGAGAGAAGCAGGAGGAGATAGAGGTAGAGCAGGGAAGAAATGTGTGAGAAGGGTTGAATTTATCTCCACAGGAGAGTGTGCATCAGGCAGTAAAGGGAACCATACTGGGGTGTACCCATAGTTGAACTTCTTGGCTGTCCAGATGGACCGAGAGTCTACTCCAGAAAGGAATAACCTCTAATGAGCTGCCTTGGCTCTAGCAATGGCTTTGAAGTAAGAGGCACGGCCCAATCTCACCTGGGCCTGGGAAGCTTCCTGGTGCCGTAGTACCCAGGCACGGTACTGCACTCATACTTGTACACCTACCGAAGGGTTAAGTTGATCCCCGATCAAGCTTTATCTCCATTACTGTACTAGCGGTTTTTTAAGTCTCTGAAATGGCCTGGTGTAAGGTATCCTGCATTGGGGTAAGTTTTTCCTTGGCAAAGGTATAAGTTCTTAATCAGTAACATACACTTTTTCCTTGCATGTAACGTTCCTCTCATGTAACAAACCATACTCTGTAACCAACTACACCTATAATACTGGCAATTCACCTGGATGGTAAACATGATGAATTTGATACAATATTTTTAATAAACAAGGTACTTACATTAGAGGTAGGATTCGAAGAGAAATAACCCCTTGCAGATGTGCAGCAATTATGACTAGCCGATTTTTTAAGTATTTGAAAGAGAAAATATAAGGGATCCGGAAATAGCTGTGTAACTGATGCCTCCTAGTTGGTGACTAATTGAATGGAATAGCCATATCATATGTTCCAAATGCTTAGAAAAGGTGGCTAGTACTATATATGAACTCCGTTTTCAGGTTACAGATATTAAAATGTGCACAGTATTGCAATTTCAACAGGAAGTGATATTTACAATCATATGATAAAAAATACAATTGTAAAATAAGAGACCAATTGACCCAATGCTCTGAGTGAGGCTAAGCTTCAAGAGGTTTGAGAATCAGATTGTTTTGGTCTGTGTGAAGAGAATAAAGAGTTTGCAGCAGGAGGGATAAGCCTAGCAGAATGGAGGAATAAAGTAGGATGTAGGGATTAGGATAACAGTTTATCCTGTATGTAGGTCTTGAAGGAATACTTGGATAAGAAGTCCTGTTCACAGTATTTGAAGGCGATAACTAATACCAAAATCAATCAGAATAGTCTTCACAGTAAAGTAGGACTCTTATATAGAATCAGTATACTTAGTTGATATTGGAAGAGAAGATAAGACTT